TAATGAGCTTATATTACAAAAAAATTTAATTTATATATTTTTCACAATTCAAAATGTATAGGAATAGATATATGTACGAGATAGAGAGAGAGATAGAGAGAGAGAGCAAAAGATATAGAAAGAGTTAAAGAAGAGTGAGAGAAATATAGAGCAAGAAAGAAAAAACAATTTCAAGTTATCGGAAAACAAATTCCTGAGTTTGAGAATTGAAAGTGTTTTTCATCTGCATCTGGGAGATGGGCTTCTGTATATATAATAAATGTACAAGGCATATTCCGTTTAGAACTTGAACGTATTGTTTTCCATCTGGAGAATAAATACATCATTGTCACAAGCATTGTATTAAGCAAATTGGTAAGTTGTATATTATATAGTTCTAAACGAAAAATATTTGACACTAATGTCACAATATCTCGCAATAACAGTATATGTAACGAGACAAACCTTCTTAAAAAAAAATAATAATAATATTAAAAAAATAATGTCTTAAACATATACTCGTATTGATTGATTATTGCGATTTGTCAAGGGCTAAAAATAATTTCCTTCTCTTTAAACTGTCAGGACCATAATTCAGTTAATTAAAGTACTATGTCAAATTTTATACAAAAAAATAACAATTCGTTACTTATAATAATTAGTTCCATTAGTTTTTTAGTTTTTTTTTTTTTTTTAATATTTTTGTCTTATAAATAATAAGTTTGATTATTTTCATTCGCTTAAATTAGATATATAAGTGTTTTTTTGATATTATTATAGTAAATAACATAATATGGACTAATCAATAATCAAACTCAATTTCACTTATATATTTACGATCAATTAATTAAAGACATTTACACTTACCAAAGATTATCTCCAGGGAGTTTCAATAAACGTGAGGACCAACATGTAATTTTTCCTACGTGCCGATCACTCTACACATGTCCACTGGAGTTTCCTATAAGAAAAATAAAAATAAAAACATTTTATTGATCAGGTGCAATACGAGACACTGTAATAAAAAAAAAAAAWMWAWATATWTTTTTTTATATTACTTTTTTATTGTTTTTAAAATGTTTTGAGAGAAAAACGATTGTTTTTAGTGCCTAAATACCCATATTATGGTATAAATATATTGTATACTGTCAATAAGCAAACATTATAATATCTCGTACATTACAAAAAAAAATTTATATTCACGACGGGTAGTGATAAACGAAATACCTGACTATCCGTCTACTTTACACACTTAAACTGCCATCTCGTTCAATATTATGWGCAATGGGTGCAAATTTTCAAATCGAAATCGAATTTCCCTAGTGTAYAAATAATTCTCAACGCGGAAATCGAATTGTCCAATAACGACGCTGTTATGCCATACACTATATTATTACATCGTTCTGAACTACGCTGTCCCGGTGTAAACATGTGACTTTGGAAGTAAACTAAAATTGTTGTTCGCAACACAATCGGCGCCATATAATAATAACAAAAGTATAGTACCAAATATATATAAATACACTTACCCTGCCACCGTTCTCGGGGTCGTGCCTGTTGTTTTTGTACTTTCCGACTGTTTTCACGGCGTCCGGCAACTGAAACTAGAAACGGGAAAAATTGTATTAGGTTCAGGTTGAAATCGAAACACGGCCCCTGAGAGAGCGAGACCAAGATAACGCGAATGACGCGCGTGGTCGCAGAGTTGGCGTGGGGCACGCAGTCCCCTTCGAATTAATTGGAAAACTTGCTAAGTGGTTTTGTTGGTCCGGCGCTAATAGTTTTACACGCGTCGGATACCCGGGCTAACAACAACGCGATTACTACTGCACGGCAGTTTGTTGATTGGATGGGCAGATTATAATATTATTGTATTTTGCCCCGTTATTATCGAATAATATTCCAATATATTATTATTATTATTACTGGCGTAACGTTCCAGTCGAAATGTACAATATAATAATAATAATTGGTACTATCATTAAAATCCACGTCGTAGATCGCATAAGTTTTGAGGATGCGCCACTTAGCCACCCGCCTAGAATAATTTGAGTTCTAAAAGTGGACAAAAGTGTAGGTAAATATATTGGAAACCCACTGACAAAATGAGAGGGAAGGTATTAATTTCAGAACTCCRCCAATAGACAACCGATAAGCAAAACCACTGGCTCCGTTTACAATAAACACACTCAATTTTGTTGATCAAACTATAAATGACGTTGCGAGATTTTCATCATTTATAAAATGTTATATTTACTAACAATACAAAATAATAAGATTAAGAGCACTCCAAATATTGGAATACAATAATTAAAGTATGAACACACATTACTCAACACAAAATACTTAAAACATTTATATTTATCAAAGTAAGTATATAATATTTAAACAATAAGAATTTCGATTTTAAAATTTCCATCAAGCCCGCACGCGTTTCAAAACAACTTAAAAGTGTTGCTAGAATTTTTAAGGTAAATTATTAAAAATAAAATTATAGGCTTTTCTTCATCTCTAACCTCTCCTCCCTCTCACTCCAAGATAACTCAATCCGCCGCCTCAAACGAAAATGTCCACGAAACCTACTAAATACCTAAATACAATTAAAATACATTAATTAGTCAAAATTAAATATCTACCAGACACATCRAGTTTGAAGTAGTGTCGCTGCATGGGCACCCTCTTCTACTACGCTACCACGCCTTGTACAAAATAATTAAAAACCATCAAAATTACCTCTTGTAAATACCAATTAATGATTGTATATTTTATCTTTTCTAACAAAAAAAATAAGGCTTTTTAACTGTATTTCAAATCCATTGAGAGGGGGGAWATGTCAATCTCACTAGAATTTAAATTCGACCCACTAAGTTGTGATTTCTCGGTTTGGACCTTGAATCTGTGTATATACAGCGAACGGCAACTGTAGACTAAGATATATTTTGTTATACAGCGCCATAAGTAATAATTATTAATAATTATAGTCAGTAGTAACTATAGACGGCCCAAGGACGTGAAACTTTGGCGACAAGTTTACGTCAAACCCCGGCTCCACTCGTTTATTATATTATTTCCATTCTTGGCGTAAACTTTTAAACACTGCCGAAACCGATTTCAGACAACGACTTCAAATACCAATCGAACGACAACCGTAAAAAATCGTTCTCGTTCAAGACGATAATTTTTCTAATTTCTCATCGGTAGCGGTATTTGCGTACGAAAACAATATTTATTATTAACGGTTTTCMGTGGCAGGCCATATATTACAAGCGAAGTTCCGACACACGAACCGATGTGTTTGTTTTATTTTTTTCCACTTGTCAAACGCCAGAAGAAATCGTTATAGTAAATATCAACAAAGACCATATTATAATAAAATAAACATTATAAACAAGGCGTATCAGTAAGTTATTTTTATGAGGGCTMTGACACTTATTTATGACCCACGACTGTTTTTAAGCCTATAAGAAAATTCAAGATATGACAAATTTAATATCGTATATTCAAATAGTATTTCAAAATKTCTGTAACATATAGCAGTGTTCTGCTGTAAGGTCAAGTTGGGAAGAAATTAGGAGAAATAAAAATATATTAATTTTCAAACATWAAAATTAACAAGATAATTATACTGTTTTTATATAATTTTTATGCGTGCCTAACTTAAATACATGAAAGTTTAAGTATCGTTGGTAATAATGTAATAATTGACAATACATATAACAATACGGTTCATTAGAACTTAATAGATTATAATCTCTAATTTTAATCCTTTGTAACAACATTTCAAAGAATATTTTACATTTTAGTACACGTAATACGCGTTTCTATACAAATCAAATCTTAGTCACACATCAAAAGTATCAGTACATAGTCAAACGACTACTATTGAATTTAAGTCTGTATTTTATTTATTAAGTAATGAAATATCAGTTTTTTTCTTATGTCTCGATGGAATACTGTCATATATTATCAGTAAAAAAAAAATTGTCAACTAAATTGGATTTTGATCTTATATTGATGGCCGATAAGCCACAGTCTCGGTGGAGCGTGAGGGTTTTTTGCAGTTATCCATTGCTAAGCCCAAAGGGATTTATTCAGACCCCCTTAATCATTCAACATGTTCCGTTAATAAAAAMTAATTGAACACACAAGATCACTAACCGGTTATTACTCGACAAAGTATTTCAATTGTATTTAATTAAATAAAATATTACATGATTTTTTTTTATACTGTTCAGATATCKAAATTCATTTAATTCAATTATACAGTATATTTCGACGATACAGTTCTCTAAGTGTTATAAATAACTTCAATATAATAATCACTTGATAAATGATATTTTAGGTTATAGGTTTACAAACTTACTAATGAATCAAATCATATTAAATCATGTTATTCCATACTTAATAGCAGTCTCGATTGATAAAAATCCAGTAACACTTTTATTTAGCAAAAAAAAAAATATATAATTTGTCATAAAGTTTGTTTAATATAATTAAGAGTAAAAATACAATTAAGGAATATTAGAATATAAAGAATTTCGGTGATCAAGAAAAAATACAAATGTTTAGATTCATCGGTCCTATCCATCATAACCTCTAAAAAAAAAAAAACAAAAAAATTCTAACTTATATTAGAAGCCGATTACACTTAAAAATTACAATTTTATACGTTTATTCTGTGTTCTACATCACACCTAATTAYTCTTTCACATAATTCAAATATATTTCTTATAAATAATAACTTATATTATAAGTTATAATATTTCAATGCAATGTGTGCGGTAAAATTTGTAATCATTAAGTAAATTTGTCTCGTCATAGAAAATCAACACATAGATAACCGCATAAAAATTTAATTCAATTGTCATATTTGTGGAATTTCGTTTACTAAGAATGATAATTTTACTCAATTTTACAAATAAGTCCATTGTTATCATAGTAAGTATATTTATAAAAAATTTACCGCAAACAACTTTTTTACACAACATGTAAACCCGCCGGGTTGCATAAAAAATCACTAAACATATTTTGATGAATCAATAGTGAACATTAGTTATACAATCACTTATCACATCACTTATACAATTATTTAGTTGCCCACGAATGGCCCAATAAGCTAATTAATTTTTCTAATAACTCAGTTGAAATATTTAAAATAAAATGTAAGTAAAAAAAAAAAGCTCTAATGGGTGAACTAGATATAATAACATCATTAAATTAACTTATATAATGAAGAGATTAAGTTACAATATAAAAATTCTATACCATGCTATAAGAAATAAATTTAAAATGAAAAATATTTTAAACAAAATATTTATCGAGTAGATAAGTTACTATTAAGTCAATGATTATATAAAACATGAACAGTATATTTGAGAAATAATTACATCAGTCAACCCAAATAAAAGATGGTACTGACGAGATCATAAAGATGAGAATAAAAATAATAATTTTACTAATTATCATTTATGACTTCTTTATTTAAAAAAAAAAATATTTTATTATAATATTATTGTGGATTATTTTTTGTAATCAAATTTCTAAAATCACTCAATTCAGCCATACATTTAAACATCCTATATATATATAAACCTATACTATAAGTGTAATACAAAATCAATACGATTACTATTGGATGATAATATTATAGGTATGTCGTATACTGTAATAGGTTAAAATCTAAATAACTATGTATCATTGGATAAATAATATTTTTCAGTTAATGTGATTCTATACTTAACACTTAACGACTATCTCAGCTTGTAAATTCTCCTCTCGATCAATGTTTTTTTTTTTAATATAAATGTAGATGATATATTCTAATATTTTATGTAAGTATTTAGACTAAAATGTTTAGTTTAATTTCAAATATTAATTGCATAATCGTAATATTTAGATAAAAATAATTTCTAAGTTATAATTCATAATAATGAGTATAAAAAATTTATATTAAAAAAAATCATTAATTATTTATGATTATGGAAAATATTCTTTCAAAGGTGATAGGAAGATGACATAAATTAATGTACTCTTMTTAATAATTAATAAAGAGCGTGTACTACTAAAAATTACAGTCTTCAACATTTTAAGTCATTATAAAATTAAAAGTTAAAAAGTATCGTAGTGGGACTGTCTGTTCTTTAAAATTTTTTCTATTAAAGTAAGTGCAATAACCCGCAGGTGACGTTAATATATTTTTCTTTACTATAAAACAAATATCCTGCTGCTATCCATGTCACTTTGTTTGATTATAGTTGCTAAAAGGTGATGGTATGGCATTTTTTTAAATTATTTGTATTTTTGTACTAAAAAAAAAAAAACCAAAACAAATTTTTATTTGTTATCAACAATAACACCTGTTTAATTTTGTAATTATTAAATACAAAATTCATTTGACGTCTAACGAATATAAATTGTAGAGTCATGCTATACCTACTAATTATATTATCCAATTTTAAATTGTAACTTTGTAAATTCAATAGGTATTTTTTTATTATTATTTATTATTAGAGAGAACCCGCGACATCATAGGCCATTGGGTGTGGTATGGTACGGAATAGGTAATTTTGTGTATTAATTGTTTGTACGTCTATAAGTTGATAGGGTTTTAACAYGTGTTTGTGWATGTATGGCAAGGATATGTTGCTAAAAATCCCGATCGGTAACCCATTCGGAAGCTAGCAACTGCATTTCCGCAGATTGAGCTTACGACCACGCCTCATAAAACCACTGAATAAGTATTGTATTTTGTGTAAGAGCAATGTTTAAAAATGGCAGTTTATGTGCATATAATTTTGCATCAAATAGAGTATATTGATTAGTAAATGAAAATTATTTAATGGTTAAGCGTATAACGACGGGTAAACGGAAAACTGGTACGGTCTTTATAAATGCGGAATACTGATACCATTCACAATATGCATGGTTTCCCAAACTTAGATTTTAGAATAAGTTAATAACGCTTTAGCATTTTTACCCCTTAGTGAAGTAATAGATGGAATGGTTTATTTATATACAACGACACCTGCACAAATGTTACCTTTATTAAATTATTTTGACGAAACTCATGTTAGTGGGAACACTGAGAGCCCAATATTTTCTCCCCACTTTTGGAATGTGCATGAAATTACTTTACATAATAGCAACAGAACAAATAATCCATCATTTTGGTTAGTAGTTAAATGTAGCAACAAGATGAAACGGCAACGCGGATTGAAAGAACATACAATACAAATAATACCTTAAAAAAAGTTCAAAAAACAAAATATTTTGCAAGACAAACTACATAATGAATGTGAAAGCTATTTGAATAAAGAGATTAATTTGGACAATTTTTAAATAATTTAGGTAAGTGTACGAAATAGTTGTTTATATTTATTAACTATGAATTTATCATTGATCATAAATTATATATTGTATTTATTGTATATTTATTTTAATTATCAACTATTTTGTATGAACTTATTTGTGTGCTTTTTTCATTTTTATTTTTAACATTATTTTTTTGTTTTCAAAGTATTATTTAAATTTAACTTGTTGACGATGGTAATTTATCAAAACTATAAATAAACAATTCGTAAATATTTTAAGACACTGAAATTTAAATTTTGAAGAGTACCAGTATTCCGCGTTTTTGATTTCTTTTGTTATAAATTCTATGGACCATACCAATGTTCMGAGTATCATAACGACGAATGTATTTTTTCATAAAAGTAAATCGTTTTTTGGTAACTCGTTAAAATTAAGTTAAAATAAGTACAGAAAAATTAAACGTGTATTTATAAGAATGGTAATCTAATTGTTAATAAAACAAATTTAAAATAGTTATTCTTAGTTCATAAAAATAACTTCCATATATACAGATGATATCAGAAGATTTGTGTCATTACAAATACTGTACATTATATTTTGTACATAATACGAAAGTTATTAGAGATGATATATTTGAACATATATCTACTATTTTAAATAATAATTTAACTTTTTATTACTCAAGACAGTTTTAAATTTTGTGAAAAAATATCAATGTGATGATTAATCTTGTTGAAATTAATAAAATTCATAGTTAAAATATTGGATATAAAACACATTAAATAAATAAACAATATTCGTACTACAGTGTATCAATATAAAATTCACAAAATGTTTGTGTTATAATCATAGTTGTTATTTGTTAACATAAATAAAAGTAAATACAAATGTCATGTATTGCTTTTCTGACGAATTTCTGTTCCCTATAGTATTATTTTTCTATACATTAATTTTCTGTGTTTGTCATTGCACCAAATGACTTTCCTGGGTTTTATAGCCTCTCTATGCGCTGTCTTATGAAAATAATTAATTTTGATTTCTTCGACAGCAAGTAACGCATTAATATTTAAGTTAAGACGTGGTTTATCACTGTGACTATCAAAATATATATTAATGTACTCTAAAAAATGTKACCACTGGAACATAATTCAGTTGACAGAATTCATTAAGCATTAATTGATTCAATTGGAAGCATGGTTTCAGTGAGTGAAATAAACAATAATAATAGCGACGACAACAACAATGTTTTCTGTGCGTAAGTGCAACAACTAATTTGCATACAATTAGAGTGGTTGAGCTAAGACATTTACTAAGGAACATAATGTAAACAATTTGTTTTAAATGTCTAATGTGATATTCGTCGACACATAATTATATTGCTTGAGTTAAAAATAGGTACAACAATGCGTGTGCATATGTTGGATAGTGCGTAAATTATAACTGCCACAAAATCTTTATATGTAAATAATGTGTTATTATATTATAAAATTTTACCTATATAACTGAAAACGTTGAAAACTTTTATGCTGCAACAGATTCGAAATTATATTAAGCTACATGTACAGTACAAATAACACCAATTTTCACGTTGGGTAATATTTTTTGAATTCCATCTTATTCGTATAAATATAATAACAAATGTGTAACCAATGTATTTCATTTATTTAAATAACGAATTTTAATTTTAAGAAGATTTATTTTTAAATTTAKAAGACAATKAAATCAATGATATTCTTTGTAATGTTTTTAAGTAATTAACTTTCAATACCTATATAGTTAATTTTTGATAGGTATAATAAAATAAATTGTATCTATCAATATTTTTCACTTTAGCACTTAAAAGCTGATTAAAAATATTTAATAATAATGATTTATTGTTGAATTCAATAAATGGTACTAAAAACAATGCTTGATAAATTTCCTCAACATTTTTCACTAATAGTCGTAATTTTTCTAAAACTTCTGGAAACTACTTAGAAAATTGAAAAATTGATTTTCAAAATATAAACTCCTCTCAATTTCTCCAATCATAGAAATTTATTTTAAATTTAACGATAATTTATTTGTGTTATTCTACAAAGTGTTTAGTAGAGCATTATTTATACATAAATATTGTAAAATGATACATATTATGTAATTATAATGTTATAAATGTTATAATGTAMTACATTGATATAATTATATGTAATATTAAAAATATTACTTTTATAAGAACAATTTAATTTTCAATGTTCAAATAATGTGGTCAGGTAAATTACATTTGATTCTGTTACGTTTAAAAGTATTGAAATCAAYATAATGATAATTAAATTATCCAGAGTATTTAATCTTAATAGTTATTTTTAAAACTCCTATAAATATCTTATAATTCTTAAAAAATCTTTAAAAATACTTACCTACAAACATAATACTAGATAAAGTAAACTTTTGAGAAATGCTCTAGGCAATATTATCCAACTATTTTTATCCTTTTGCAGTTTATATGTAATACATAACAGGTATGTTATAACAAAATTAACATGTAACAGATGGTAAAATCTATTTGTAAAATATCTCATGTCTAGTTAGTAATTTATTATATTTATTATAAACGTAGCTGATTTCAAAGTTATGGATTTCAAAAATAATTTTCTCTTTCAGTTTATTGACAATTTATTTTTATATCAATAAATTATTCAAGACTAAATCGCAATAATTTAATTTAAAAAAAAGCGATAAGTTGTGGATGTCACTCTGCTGTGCAGTAGGTTACAAGTGGGTTACTTTAAAGGATGAAATTAAATTTGAATCCAATGATATTATATCATTGTATACGAAAAACGATTCTGAGCGGAGACGGTTTTTCTGTCTAGGATATATTATAGATTATTAAAAAATTTAAAAAGAAATTTTTTTATGAATTTCTATGTAAAATAATTTGAACATTGCCGTAATTTTTACGTATCTAGT